CTTACTAATATTGATTTTTCCGGAATATTGATGACTTTCTTAGTATACGGTGTACCCGGTTTAGTAATTTGATCTACCGTATTAGATACGCCTACAGTAGTTAATATGTCAGCAGGTGATAACTGAGTAGAAGTCAAGTGCTCAGTAATATTTTCTGGTACTAAATGGATTGGTATTGGTGCCGCAGATTTATTTTTGTCGTTATCGATTAAGATACTATCCACTGTCAACAGTAAAGGAACTTGATCCGTCGTTGGTACAACGTTATCATTAGTTATAGCAATTGCAACATCAGCGAAAGGCTGTGCACTTGCCGTAATTCCGATAATCTCAGTTGCTAAAGTTGATTTTTCCGGAATACTGTTCACTTTCTCATTATACGATGTTTCCAGGTTAGTAATTTGATCTTGACCAGGTTCAGTATGTGAAACACCTACAATAGCCAATGTATTTGTTGGCGATGTTTGAGTGGAAGTCAAATACTCGTTACGGTTTTTTGGTACTAGATGAATTGGCATTGGTACTAAAGATTTTTCTTTGTCGTTATCGATTAAGTTACTATCCGCTGCCAACAGTAAAGGAACTTGATCTGTCGTTGGGACAACGTTATCATTAGTCATAACAATTGCAACATCAGCGGAAGGCTCCGTACTTGCTTTAATTCCAATATTCTCGGTTACTAATAATGATTTTTTCGGAATATTGATGGCTTTCTCAGTATACGGTATTCCTAGTTTAGTAATTTGATCAATCGTACTAGAATCCGTACTGGGTATGCCTATAGCAGTCAATATATTATCTGTTGGCGATATTTGAATTGAAGTCAAATGGTCTGGTGCTAAATGTTTTACATTAGTCGACTTTGATTCAGATATTGAGTTTAGTTCCGTATTATCATTTATTTTTATTTGTGTTTTATCTACTTCACTTGCAATTTCTATTGATACAATTGGCTTCTCTGTAATATTTTTATCCGTGTCATGAATAGATTTATGTGTAATAATTTTGTCAGCAGTAGCGGGAAATGTATTAGTAGATGCATTTTTAGCAGTTTCATTTAGTGGTGTTATACTAAGCACGTCTTGATTGATAAAAGGTTTCACTTCAACTCCATCCGTAATAATACCACTATCTGTATTTGGTGGCGTATTGGAATTCACAGTGACAGATCCCAAGATAATATCATTGTTATGAGAAATCACGTGTTCCGCAACATTTTCCATTACGTTGTTTGTAAAATTATTAGGTTCCGTAAAATTTGGTTCAACTTTTACGCTCTTTATTTCAATAGGAACAATACTAACTGGCTTAGTTGTAAGAAGAGATTTTTTACTTGTTACAGTCTCTGTTTGTACATTTGGGTTTCCTAGAATATTAAAATTATATATACCTTCGACGGTTAATACATCCGTCTGAGGTGTAACGTTTGGAACATTTTGCTTAATTGTAGGATCGATTTCTACTGGCAAAAGAACAAAACTCTTTTCTGTCGCTATGTGGCCACTCGAATCTACTGGTTTAGATTCCAAAATGTAAGGTATATCTGTTTGATTAACGTGCGTATAATTTTGTTCAATAATTTTATTACTCATATTTCTAGGTGTATCAACTGCGGCAATAGTTATTACATCATTACTGAATGCCGCTTTTGTTGTTATTGGTTGCATTATTACGTTATCTTTATCGTTATTTTGTTTTCGAATTTCATCGGTTTTTGATGTAAAATCAATAGGCATGGTTGTAATCTCTATATTTGGAATAAGAGTAGCATTAAGTTGATCTATTCTCAAAGGACCTACCATGTGATCAGATGCAATTTGATTGTTTGTACCTACTGATGCAGGTTCCGAAACTAAATCTATGCTAATAGTTTTCGGTATTTGATTATTAATATTATGTCTTTCATCTTTGTTAGTGTCTTCAAAAATTAGATTATTTTTATTGTTAGATGATTCGACGTTAGTATCATTGACTACATAATTTTGTATGACTTCTAGTTTATCAGAGATACTGGATGGTGTAGCGATATGTGAATTATCTTTAGAAGCTAATACTATGTGAGGTGTGGCATTTGGTACATTTCGAATAGTATTTTCTAGTTCATTAGTAAGACTGGATGGTGTAGCGAAAATTGAATTATCTTTTTGAGCTAATACTACGTGAGGTGTTGCATTTGGTACATTTTGAATGGTATTAGTGTTAGATTGAACTTCTGGAACAAAGGTGTTAGCAATCTCAGTAATTTGAATACTCGGTATTACTACATTCGCGGTATTATTTTCTGTGCTATTTTTGGATTTTCGGTAATTTACATTTTTGTTTTCAGTACTAAACTTTTGTACGGTTTTATTATTGTTATTGTTTGAGGTATCGGTCGTAGTCGTTTTTATAGCTTCATTAGCAAGAACTTTGAATGAATTTAAGTCATTGGTAAGTGGAGTTATACCTGGTACAGTGTCAAAAATAGCAAGTTCTCCTGCTCTTAAAGTGTTAAAATTGTTAACAGTAGAATTTGTAACATTTTCCATAATGGATGCACCTACAGATTCTGGAACAAAATCGTTTTTATCAGGAGTCAGATTCGCGATAGCAGTTTCCAGAAGATTTTTATCTAATAGAGTATTAGATACACCAATCGATGATGTCCTCATAACAGATTGACTACCATTATTGTTAAATTGGTCTACTAGTGTAACAAAGGTTTTATTGGTCTCTGTGATCTGGATACTTGGCGCCACCCCATTAACGGCATCATGTTTCAAAGTAGAATCACTGTTAGTGAGGGTAAAATTTTCTGTAACATTTTTTGACTCCCTGTTATTTAAATCATTGTTATCATCGTTTGCAGAATAAGCCGCGATAGCGTTTATAGCTTCGTCAACAAAAACTTGTACAATTGTATTATCTGTATTTGTCTTTTGTTTATTATTAATATCCACTTTCTCATTATTTAGAGCACTTAATTCGTTTGTGTTGATTAGAAGCTCACTATTATTTCTTAAACTACTGTAAGAATTAGATATAATAGTAGGCGGAGTGCTACTTGGTACACTGTTTGTTAGTTCGCTTGTTCTTAAAATGTTAGAATGATTATCAATAGAGTTCGTATTATTTTCAATAATTGGCGGTAAGATTACGGATTCCAGAATAAAATCGTGCTTATCAAGATTCAAATTCACGATATCAGTTTCTAGCAAAGGCTTAGGCATATCAATCAAAGGGGTATTTTCGCTTAATTTACTTGGAGACGTTGAGACATTAATCTGTGAAGATGTACTCGTTACATACTGAGATTCTGTAACGTTGAAATTAACTTCATTTAGATGTGTTGAATTGTACACCGTATTAGTTACGAGTAATGGGCTATTTGTTGTGTTGTATTCATTCATAACATTTTGATTACCAATTTCATTATTAGTTGTTCTAATTATGTCAACCGTGAAAGCGGGTCTAGCTTCAATACGAACAACAGGCCCTTCGCTAGATATGGCTGCTGTTGAGGCAGGTATATTTTCAAAGACATTGCCAATTTTGTTATTAGTTGACGTCAGCTGAGTAGTAATATTTTGTTCGATATTAGTCGCAATGTTATCACGCGGTGGATATCGTAAAGATGCATTCACTTCACTTGTAAAAATGGAAATATCACTTGGTACAATCTGCGATGGCTTATTTAATTTATCCGCTGTGCTGTTGTTGTTATTACTAAATCTGTCTGAAGAAGTGAATTCGTCTGTAGACGGTGTTGTCCTCAAACTAAGATCAGTAGAAGGCTTTGAAAGAATACATTCTACGGCAGAAGTATTGGTATCAGCAGATTTTGATTTATCGCTCACGGAAATATTTTTTACATCATTATAGCTCTTGTTTTTATCAATAGCGGAAATTGTAGTTACATTACTGTTATTTGATTGTCTATCGTTGATTTCTTTTGCACTATCAATTAAATTTGAATTTACTTGAAAATTAATTACGATAGTATTGTCTGTGTTGGCTCCTGTGGTTTCGTTATTATTTTCTACTAGAAATGCATTTAACACAAGTTCTTCTTCTGGTGTTGCAGTAGTTAGTACCGTATCGTTAAATACACTTACAGTATCACGTCTTGTTGGCGTCGGTTCAGTTACACTGTTAGTCACTAATGTTGTTTCACTAATATCACTTTGTTTTTCAACTCCAATAACGTGGAGTGGTGGTAGAGTTTCTTCTATCTTTGGAAACTCACACTCGAATATATTATTTCCGTGGCATACTGTGGTCGCTGGACACGGAATAACGAAGTCATCAATCGTAGTCGATAGGCCGCCACCCAAATCAACACATATCATGAAATGTGTGGAATTGACGCAGTGGAAAGCCTTGCCATTGCAGTTAATATTCACGGACGCTATCGCAGGGATAGCGATCAATACCTAAAAAAGACATTTTAATACAAATATAATCTCAGACAATTATATTGTTACAGAGTAAACAAAATCCTATTGTCCATATTATTATACTTACAAGTAATGAAATCCTTTTCAGGTCGTTAATTTCGTTAGCCATTTTCGGGTATTCGTTCCGAAAACGGTACAAATCATTCGATAAGTTTTCGTTTACGCTTGTCGTGTATCACATGAGGGTTTTCTCGCGAATGTCGGTGTTGCGTTTCTCCCAACAAATATGAACGTTGTTACAAGTTTGTTAACATAAGATTCGTTTACTCACATCACAAAGTAGATTAGGCCGTCAGAAGGTAAATAATGTTGACACGTTATTTCCTGCGGCTTTTCAGTGCGTATTGTTGTTGAGATAAAGTGCTTCTTTCCACGGAATAGGTTCTGAACAAAATATGCATGTTATTGACTATTGGGGGTGTTTGTTGATGTCTTAATATTGCGTAACGATATAACAGTTGTAAATAAATTTTACTTTTCTGCTGCATACGCCATCTATATGTATGCATGAATAATGTGTATAACTACTAATACTTCTTAGCTATGTGATTTCGTTATGCATGAATTTCGGTCGCTTATTATTTTATGTAGATTTCTTAACCACATATTAATACAACCTAAACGTGGAATGGTCTCTCAGACACGGGGTAACCGCTAATAATACTAATATTAATTATTATCAAAATAGATTAAATCTTCCAATGAAATCTAGCAACCTGTGAAACTTGACACAAAAATGTTTCATGGAAAACCCCAAAAATATTTATTTTGGGCTTGATATTATCTTCAGCTTATTTTTTTACCACATTTTAAAACTAATATAAACAAATAAAATATTTGAGTCATTATAAATTAAACTTTTGATAGCAATGCGGAAAATGAATCACTGCAAGAATGCGGGCTAAGTACACAATAGCATCTCACTACAAATAATTGTATTATTTAAATATAACCCTTATTTACTATAAAGATTATACATGTATTATATAAATAAGTTCAATGGACGTAGATGTCATATTTTTATGAATAAACTTTATCAGTAAAAATAGAAACACGAGGATAATTCTAGTGATTCATTTTACCACGAAAGAGTAAACCTTCGTTACACACTACTTATATTGTTACATAGATTTAATAATGGCGTTATCTGACAAGGGAAGGTTATTTATAACATCAGTTACTATCAAATAGGTACGCTAAATACAAAACTTCTATAACTTTGCATTAGTTAGGTGGAGTTATAGAACCAGTCAAAACAGACACCAAAAATATTTTTAGACTGCCTCCTATTTTCCTTTCGATTCGAAAATCAAATTAAACTCGTTATTTTATAAAATATAATTTACTGACTAAGTATTATGCATTACAATTTACTTATCCACTTAATGTTCGATATCACAACTTTACAAACAACACATTTAGTTCATTATCCGCAACATTGTCCTAGTTTCTTTGTTTACATTACAATTTTAACCTCAATTCGTTTATTGTACGGACATATCAAAATAGCCAACGTTTACCTATCCTGACAGATTTTAATTTTGTTACATAAATGTAACAGATCGATATGATCAACCATACAAAACTAATAACGGATAATGTTATGGCTAAAATGAACATGGTGGTCTGTAAACCTCTCTCTTCGTCGACTATGAAAGATATTCCTACAACAAACACAGCTAGTAGAGTACCCGAGATCGTTTCCAGAGGGCTATGTAGTTTCGGCCATTTTCTTGCGCCGACGAAGTCTTGCACTGCTGTCTCCCAGCAACATGAAACGGCACCATAGCCAAAGCCAGCTATTACACAACCGATTGAGAATGAGTCATGGTTGTCTGCTTCTGCTAAAACTGCAATAAAATACAGACAATTAATTTAGTGCCTGATGCTAAGAATTAAGTGCTAAAAAACTATACATTTTCCATTTTTTACTTACCAAAGCATCCTAACGTGGATATAACCACGCCGGCTAGAGCAACATACTTGAAATTTCGTTTAGGCGTTTGTGCAAGCCATGGTGTACTTAACAGGAAACATATCCAGGTGAAACCATACAGTGTCATCAGGAAATTCGCATCAGATATTGCTATCCTGGGATGCATTTCAGAAGCAATCTTTGATAGTGACACCATTGCTACAGACGTTAAACTCAGTCTAGCGAAATACAACAATAACGAAGGATAGAACTTCCAACATGACAATGATCTTGTCAGTGGTTTTATAAACGTATCGTTGATATTGTACAAGAAAAATGTTAGTCTCCTTCGTATCGTATAAATTCTATAAGAAGGCATCCACATCCTTCTTCGCATACTAGCATAGGCGGACTGACAACGAAAACTAAATGAATTAAATATTTTCTCTCTTTGAATATCTGTTACTGGTGATACATTATCGTATGTCACTTCTACTTCAGTATAATCCTTGTGTTCGATACCATCAGGTTGTGAGTCTCGTCTTATTTGCTTACTGATACAATCGTCAAAACTATCGCCTAATGTACTCAGTCTCTTGATAGCGACACTGAGTCGCTTTTTGTTCACACTCGCATCTTTTTCTTCTTCCTCGCATTCGCTCTCTTCACTTTCTTCCGGTATTTCTGGAAGTATTTCAACACCAAATATATTTTTCCTTTTCTCCTCTGGACTAGGTGGTGGAGTAATTGTAGCGACTACATCATCATCGTATTCGAAGTCCTCTGAGAAATCTGGTTCTTTATGCAGATTGTCATCTGGACTTTTCCAATATTTTTGACTCAAATCATGTAGCGGCAATTCATTCGTATAGAAATTCTTATCCATCCCTTCGTTACTGAAGACAGCGTATGTTTTCGCCAAGTCACTGTATCTGGAGTAGGAAATTGGTCTTTGTATGCTTTCATCGACTCTTAGTAATAGAACCGCTGGTAATGTTTGAAGCATTATACCGGCGAGAACTATGTATGAGTAGGAGTATCCATATGCATCTATTAGTGCTACTATGATATGAGGGAACATTGCTTGACCCACTGCTTGACCAGCCAAACATACACCGCGAATAATTCCTAATCGTGAATCATAAGTATCGAATACTACTGCATCCACTTGTGCTGATATAAGTGATGATCCGAGACCTGTAAAATAGAAAAGGGTAAATAGAAGTAGATATGTTACACGATCTAAAAAAAGGATAAGTCCAATTAAAATAAAATGATCACCTCCAAGTATTCCATAAACAAGTGGCTGAAGATGGAAAGGAATAAACGCGCAGATGAGAAGGCTAGCCACCACCATAGCAAGGCCTAGTGTCGCCATCACACGGTACCCGACCGCTCCACCCCAGGAGTCTGCTGCTTCTCTGAACCAACATTCTGAAAGCCAATTCAAAATTTTTACTATATTTATTCAATAAATACTAATGACAGCGTACAAAGAAAACAAAAGTGCATTTTGTTTAATAATACGGATATAAATATTTTATCATGAAAACGTCGATCAAAACATAGTGACATTTTTCTTTGCAAGTAGGTACTTCACCTGTGGGCGTTGCAAACAACTGATAATACGAATGATAAAATAAATAACAAGACCCTTACGTGTAAAATTGTAGATGAGTATATAAATTGTAGGAGTTGAGAGACCGACCCATATCGGCACGTGAAATTCATCTAAATGTACTAATATTACTCCATAAGCATACACGAGACTCGGCAAACAGATCTGGAAAGATAATGATTATACATAGTGGCGAGAGATAACCCATTGTGGGGGTATCGGACGTAACACTCGTCAATGTCGAGATTTCAAATCAAAATCATGCTTACGTCCGACAATGTTGTCTTGTTCCAAGAACAATCACACCTTCGTATACATAACTACTACACATATCTACATGCTACATAGTACATACATACATGCATAGATCCTCTTCAGTTTTTACAAATGTTACAGAAAATTACAGCATCGTAAAAATTATTTTCAAATCAAATTGTGTATAAGCTAAATTGTTTGTTCTCTGATGAAAGTATTAGTGTCCCCAGCATGGAGGGCAACGCTATTTAAAAAAATATTGTTTTTATTATTTTATTGGCTAATGGCATTAACCTTCAGGTATTTTTTTTTTTTAAGGGAGGAAAATCATCGAATGACTGCTCCCGCCCGGAACCTTCAGGTATAGATAATTATTGCAGCTACTACTATAAATAATAGAAAAGCTACTTCGGCAAGACGCAATAATAACAACTTAAATAATTGATACCTACCTACCTATTATCCAGTAAACACTTGAGTAGGAAACTTATCTAATATCATTACATTTGACTTTGAAGTTAAAATACATGTTTGTATAGTGAGGTGGATATGAGCGAATATAGGCAATTGCATTGTTTTTACTTGTATGAAGGCTTTGTACCCAATTAAGTAATAATTGTGCAAACGTTATAAAAATAAACGTAGATAAGCGATTCGATGTTAGATAGCCGCTCTACAATTCCACTTGGTTGTATTGTCGCGTGACGATGAAATCACGCAAGTCCTTATCATTCACCTGTGCATCTGTGGCTTGAGTGTTTTCTCACAGACGATAGTGAGTGACGTCACTGTGGCATTGATACACATTCATGGACCTAAAACAACTGAATAATCTGCGCAAACCAACCAACACTGGTGGATTAATGGACTAGCTAGGTAGTTATAATGTTTGTTTTGACTATAAAGTAGGTATGAACAATCGATTATTTTAATAAGTCGCTTTGGCAAAATATGAATATGATTTTATGAATAAAAAATCTGTATTTAATATTTGGTAAATTCTGGCAGATCAACTTACGTTCAGAAGCACGACAGATAGCAGTAGAGGCCATCGCCACGTCGCTCCATGCGCTCTTGTATTAAACTCCATCTATTCTTCTTTTTCCTGCATTTTCTCAAGTTGTAAAATGACATTATCCATGTAAAATTGCACTTAACGTATCAGTCATAATCACATGATTCAGCAAAAATATTGCTTTGTGAACACCACTAATATAATCGCACTGAAATGTTTTGAAATGAAAAAATATATTGTTTATTTTAAAACTTGTAGTCGTAAGAGAGCATATCGTCGTATTGACAGCATTCTATACATCAGTCGTGTTATCAAAAGGCCCCAACACGTAGTTACTTTGTCTTATCTTATCGTTTCAGTGAAAGAAACCAATATTAGTGTCTAATTGTTTTTATTATTTAATACATTAGAAACTTTCGACAGGTCTACATGTTGTCATATCTTTTACGTATCTTAGAGTATTACGGTACCTAGTTTCTTGATCAAGAAGTCACCTTGTTAAAAAGATAATTTAACTTTCTTCTTTGTTTGATTAATTTACATCTAATCTGACTGTTAGTTGACTTCCGTTAAGATTTTAATTTAAGTATAGGTAGGCATCAAACTGTGCTAAGACAACTTTAATAAGAGTAGTATTTAATAAAAAAACAACTTAAGTAGGTAGGTACGAAGGTGGGTATGTCTCGAAAGTCGAAGGCCGACGTTTATTATCAGATTTTTGAAAAGAGATTTGAATGGTTTATGCTTATCGATTACGAAATCGTTATTAATTGATTACGTATGCTTTTTTTTTTTTTTAAGGGGG